AAAATGATGCATATACATGTATCGAGGATAAAGAAAGATCAAAGAAAATTTTTCTCCGAACGTTTTCCGGTGAATAAAAATGTCACCATTGGACTCAGAATTAAATTCTGCATCGAATAAACTCAGTTCTATCGACCGGAATTCGTTTTCAGAAAATCCTTAGTTTGATGGTGCTAGCTCGATGGTGCTAGCTTCACACCGATAATTTCAAACGACATTAAATATAAGTGGTTTACAATCATGGCAAATATCAACATTAGGTGTTCAAAAATTATTATATGATTATGAAAATTTACGAGTTCGTTTTGATATTCGAGGATGGCGATCGAATCAAAGCGAAACTTACATGATTAAATATAAACCTGAAGGTGCTGAATCAAATTCAGTAACTAGAATAAATAATTTAATATAAAAAAAACTAAGATTCAGTTTTTTAGCCAGCTTCACAAGGTTATGCATTATTTAATTTCAATCCTGATTATTCAGAATTGACCAAAGTAAAATAAAATAATAATCTTTCGAACATTTTTCTCTTTTGATTTTTGAAGAATGATTGTTTGTACAGAACAGATCCAATGAGTGATGTAGGTCCATTTCCTTGGAATTGGTTTCATGATACACAATTGATCGTTGATCAACAAGATCATACTAAAATTCAACCATGGTTTCCATTACCATCAAATCTTATCAATAAGGGTAAACAATGGATACCAGAAATACAACTAAATGCTACAGTATGTTTTCTTATTTCTATTAGAATTAAATCAATCTATGAATAAATGATATGTAATAGAAAGATTTTTCATTATTATAGAGATATGATTCACCTGAAATATGTGATTTACAACGATCTGGTCTTGGAAAAGTTCCATGTTTAAGTTATTTTGAAACAGAAGATAGACCAGTTAAAACTATTCGTGCACGTGCTGCTCAAGGTAGTTTCGATAGTGATGAGTAAGTGCAAAGGGCTTGCTTTTATTGATACAATAAATAATTATATATTTGTACATAGATACATAACTACTGTTTATTTATCATTTGTTCATGGTATTCCATCACAAGCTGAATATTTATTCGATTTACCAAAACAATGGCCTTCTTATTGTGGCAATGCAAATACAGGTGAATTATAAATTTTAGTAACTTGTCTGGCATTACATATGTTATCGTTTTTTTAGGCTTTAATGTAGAACCTCAGCATGGATATGTAGTAACTCCAGATGGTCAAGATCATTTTACATTAAAATTACAAACACCATTAGTTCGTTCACTTGGTGATCAAGTCAAAGTTGAGTTTAAAGTACAACCAAACTGGTATTACAATGGTACGCAATGTGCTAAATTTAATCCAATTATTTTTAATCAAGAAAACTGGGATAAACCATTACAAGTTGATATGTCGTTTATTGATTATGGATGTTGCACATATGCAATTACAGCAAATGGTAGTGGATATGAATGGTCATATACAACACAAACGTTTGTTGTTTATGCATGTGATGGACAAGCTGGATACGGTTGCACTGGCAAACAACCATGTGGAGCCTAAAAATAATAAGAAAAATATACTTGTGATTTGCACACATATGTAATAAAATACATATTCTTCTTGATAATGATTATTGATTTTACTGAATAATTCCATCAGAACTTTCTCAATCGACGAAGCACGTCAATAGAATGTCTGCCCACGAAAAAATTTTTCGATCAAAACCGCGGCATATCACGGTGCGACAAGGCGTTGGTGTCAGCGGTTTAATGAACCGCGAAAGTCAGAGCTTTTATTAGGTTTTCNTATCGTTGATACTCTAAATTAACTAGCTATAACAGGGCCAGAATGCATAGCGAACAGACAAACATTCTTCTTTATGTACTCAGTCGCCACAAAAGCTAGTACTACGAAAGTTTCTACCGCACTTGCGTGAGTCTCGTGGAATTGAGCACAAATGGGTTTAGTTTCCAGTGTGTCAGCTTTTTCACATCAATTAATAAAGCTAAGATATAACGATGTAAGATTAATGGTTTTGATCCAGAGAATCCTTGCATTCTCATCGTCAACTGTATGTAAAAGTGAGTAAACCTTATGTATCAAGCAGTTGCTCAGTAAAGAATGATATTTCAGTGAAAAGTCGATTTGATACGTTATAGCGTTTTCGGGAAAATCGAAATTTGCATCGGCTGTAGACAACAATTATGGACTTTATTTTTACTTTCCGTAATGGCCGTAACGGCCGTAACGGAGAATTTCTCAGTTTCGCATTTCCATTACGGCCATTACGGAAAGTAAAAATAAAGTCTATATTGAACATAATCATTATATTGATGAAGTATAACGCAGTATATATCCATCGTACCGGTTGTTGTAGTCTTCCTAAAACCGAGATATAGCTCTCAGCGCCCTTCGCGGCATCCTCAATGAAAGTTTTGGTTATTGAGTTTAGAATAATCGCTTGGATTCTGAAGTGGTTTTGGAAAAAGGTTTTTTGGATTTCCGGGAAATTCGTCTTATATCCGAATACATGTAATTTCCGGGAAAACGCTATAACGCATTATATGACATTTTGATGATCGCAAAATATTTCTTGTAAAGTTTTTCTTTGTCCAAAACTCTGTTGAAATTGTAATTCACGTTGTGTTCTTTCTTCTTCTAATTGCATTCTTTTAAGAAAACGATGCCAATGCATACCAATAACTTGTTGACTATCAAATTCCTCAAGTATATATAATATATTACAATATACATCAATTCAAAAGAACTCTGATAATTCATTATTATGATTCATTAAACGATCTAATTGACGACAGAATAATTTAACCCTTTGAGGACGGGTGGGTTATTTTTCACCCACCTATTCTTCGATAGAGGAAAAAAGTGTTCAGTTCACGTTTAAGTATTAAATATGTAAGGTCAATAAGGTCGTAAACAACTGCATCTGTCATCTCATACTTTTGTTTTCTTCTTCTCTCTTTCGTATAAAGACTTTTCGAGAACATTGTCGTTCTCTGTATATACATATATATAGTCCCGTTCTCTTTGATGAAAATATTTTGCTCTTGAATTCGAAAGGCATATCACTTCTCCTAACTCGTACTCTATTTCTTTATATCGTTTGTAAAAATAAAACCAAACAAATGGAATTCTATGAAAGTGATGAAGGCAACGACGAGTCGTGTGATTCATACGCCAGTGATGATACCAATGATAGTGACTTCGATTTCGATTATGATGAGCTAGTTGATAACTTTGATAAACTTGAATTTTCTGATGAAGATATGGATGTATATGACGAGGAACTGAATTCAATGAATGAAAGCTATGCTACAAATGGTGGCTTTACTTCAATCTCTCATCAAGGGTGAACTCCAGTTTCAGTTTTTAAAACTTTTTTACCGAAGAAATTATAAATCTGATTACTGCTCAAACAAACATTTACAGAAAAGAAAAGAAACGAAGTAGCAATCAGAAGAAAACCATTAACTGGAAGGATGTGAGCAAGGAAGAGATTGAATCGTTCCTCGGATTGATTATTCTGATGGGTATCAGTACTTTGCTTAATATGAAACTTTATTGGAGTAAAGATATGGTATTCCATAACACATTTATTTCTTCAATCATGTCGAGAGATCGCTTTCTTCAAATTTTCTATAATTAACATCTAGCTGATAATTCATTGCAACCGAAGCGAGGATCCAAAGACTATAGTAAAATCTACAAAATTAAGACTTTCACCGAAATTTTACGGAGAAATTTTCAAAAGAATTATAACTTTGGTCGTTATGGTACAATCGATGAATGTATGATAAAATTCAAGGGAAGATCAAGTCTCAAGCAGTATTTACCTCTAAAACCAATCAAAAGAGGTTATAAAGTCCGGTGCTTATGTGATCCAATTACTGGCCATTTATTCAACTATCAAATCTATCTAGGAAAAGAAGAAATCAGTGGAAAAGGAACATCTTTAGGTGAACATGTTGTTTTCGATCTTATCTCTGGTCATAACTTTCAAGGAAAACATCTGTACTTCGATAACTTCTTCACATCGCTCAAGTTATTAGAAAATCTAAAGCTGCAGAATATATAAGCATGTGGAACTATTAGATCAGAGCGAGCAGGTATTCAGTCTGATTTTGCCAAGAGGAATAAAATGAATCGAGGGGATTACAAGTCAATGATTATATCAAACAGCATTGTCTTCATATGGATGGACACCAAACACGGTTTTTTAGCTTCAAATTATCATAAAGATAACGAAGTTGTTTCAATTTCGCGTCGTTTGCAAAGTGCTCAACGTATCTTAATTGACTGTCCAAGAGCAGTGAAAGAATACAATCAGTTTTCACCTGGAGTTGACTGATTCAATCAAAGAATCTCGTGTTACAATCTCGATCACAAGTCTAAAAGAAACTGGCTGCGAATGTTTGTTTATTTTCTAAATGCATCTATACTCAACTCATTCATCTGTTACAATCAGTTAGCTCAAGATAAGTTAACATACTTAAACTATATGATTTCACTGGCGAAGTCTCTCTGCTCTGGTAGTGGACGAATAAGTCGTGGAAGACCTCCTTCGAAAGACAAATCTAAACTAGCATCATCGAAAAATCCCCTTAGTTTTGAAAATGAAATGCATTTGCCAGTGACATCAAAAAGGAGAAGATGTGCTTATTGCAGCACTAAACAAGCAGATTTTCGAACCAACATCAAGTGCTCTACTTGCAAATTACCATTTTGTTTAAAAGATAAAAAAAACTGTTTTTTCTCTTTCTCGTAGAGAAGAGTCTTAGAAACATAAATTGTTTGCTTGCTTGCTTGTTTGTTTGCTTGTATGTCCGCAGGGTCAAAAAAACATTGAAAATCGATTTTTCCGAAAAGACATTTCTAGATGTATTTCGATGCGGAGACTTCGAATCTGATGTTATTTTTTGGAAATTTTTCATAAAAAAA